CCATGTTAATAGAAAGATGAGAAAAAGTAGTTAAACTTGATGAAAAATATTTTGTTCAATACATATATTGTACCAATTTTATTCAAGTCAAGAAACGATCAATATACATGCAAGTACCAATTGAAAATAGACTTCTTACAATTATGAGAGAGGAAATCATTAAAAATTTATCTAATCAATTATCTGCAAGATTTCTATATAAAAAATAAAGTATATCTTTTATGACTGAAAGAACGAAATTAGTAAGGATAGAAAGTAGGGAATTTTTTGTACCCATCATCTGAAAATCTCAAAAGATTTCGCAAAATTTTGTTGCTTCGATATATTTTTTTTATATTCCTTGATGGTGATAAAAAATTGAAATTGAAAACATTGATGGGCACCTTTTTAGGGGACTATGCATACTATATCATTAACCTTTTCTCATCCATCGTTGCTTGAGATAGATACACATGATGGACTTCTAAATTTTATATCTTAAGCTAAGCGCTGTCGACTTCACCCGTAATCCCCCTTTTTCACTTGTCTCGTTGTTATGCAGAACCTTTTAAAATGATTACCCTTTCATCCTTAAAAATGCTGATCATTGAATCTTAACGTAAACTATTATCCCTTAGGCAATTACGTAGGCAATTGCAACATGGATTAGGTTTCGTCCAAAACAGGAAACTAACTAACCTTGCAATTTCTCGATCTCGTTACCTTTTATATATATACGGCAACCCCGACCTACTCCTTTTGGATCCTTATTGGTACCTGATTATCAAGCACTGCGTTGACAACGATGCCTACATTGGTTATGATTTGCCGAAATTGTCTGTAATTAATGAATTTTAATATGTATATATATATTTTCCGAGTCTTAATGAAGAATTAAATATAAGCAACTACAAGAATCGGTTTCGAATACTCTTACATTTAGAGGAGATTGGGTATCTTACCAATTACCGCATGTATAAGCGTGAACGAGCCCATTTCGCACGTCAAGGAAAGTATTTAGCTTTGGACGTAGAAAATCTTTCCGAATGCCGTCCTTCATTAGTAATTGGAGACAGGCTTAAAGCGGAAAACCCCTGGGCCGACGGCGAAAATGGCAAAGAGATGTATAAAGGAGCGATTCACGAAGTGCTCCACAATCGAATCCTAATTAGATTCGATGACAACTTTCAGCGGGAATATGACTACCGAGATTATCGTGTAGAATTTTGCCTCTCCGGATATGGCTACCGAAAGCAATACTACGCCATTTCAAGAGCGGCTGAAAAATTGGGGGACCAGTTCTTGTTTCCCTCTCAAGTACAAACGCGTGAACGTCCACAATTGGATGTAAGATTATATGGTGAGGAAAGTCTATTGTTAGACAAACGCCAGTATGAGTGGTACAATTCCAAACTGAAGTTTATACAGAAGAAAGCCGTAGCAAATATACTACGAGGAAAAATTCGCAACAAGCCATATGTGATTTTTGGTCCTCCCGGCACCGGAAAAACGGCAACGCTAGTGGAAACGATTGTACAAAGTTTTAAATTGATACCCACTGTACGTATGCTTGTGGGCGCACCTTCGAACAATACCGCTGATGTAATAACGACGCAATTGATCGGCGTACTCAAAATGGATGAGCTTATACGTCTAGTATCCCACAAGGAGCTCAAAAAAGGACCTATACCAGAGCATTTGATGCCGTATTGCGCAACAGGCAACAAATACTGGGATACTGGCCTAAATTACAACTGGGAAGATGAGATGATTATGGCCAAGTTCGGACTCAAAATGAAAAGTATTTAGGGCGCCATCGAGTAACGATTGGTACTTGTGCTACACTTGGCAATTTTTTGCAAATGCGTTTTCCACCCAATCATTTTACGCATGTGCTAATTGATGACGTCGACCAGTGCACAGAACCTGAAATTATGGTTGCTGTTGCTCAAGTATCAAATGAGTGTGGCCGGGTAATCCTTGCCGGAGATCGCAATCATCAAGCAGTTACTATAAACAAATATGCTCGTGGACGCGGTTTATCCACATCATTTTTAAGAAGAGTTCTTTCATGCGCTCCATAACTACAAAATTTTGAGCGTTTTCCCATTGATTGTGGTTGTTTTGACCCTCGCCTAGTTTTAAGACTTCTCTGCAACTCTGTACTCTATACGAAAAACAAGTTAAACATCCGCGTAAACTTTTCGATGATGCCGGCCGTAGCAGCGCCTAAAATAGGTACTGTGGAGGACTTCCAAGGACAGGTATAAATTTCGTAAATTTACACAAATTTACACTCATGTTTGAATTAATTGTTGCTTGGTTTTTTTTAGGAATGCGAGATAATATTGATCTCAACAGTGAGATCAAGCAAGGAGCTTATACCTAGCGATGTGCGACATGGATTATCTGACTACACGCCCTTTAAAGTAACTTAAACTCTAAATCTTATAGTTTCATTTTTGTCGGTTTTGTAGATGTTTTTTTTATTATTTTTTTTATTTTTTATTATTTTTTGTTTTTTTGATAAAACTCAAAAAGAACTAACATATGTATCGAAATTCAGCGCTGGATACTGGGAAACATATTTTCTAAAGTAGTTGCTTTTGGAAAAATGATTGGGAAAAAAAATCATCAAAGCGCAACATTTCAATGCTCAACTTTTTTAGTTTTTTGTTTTTAAAGTGTTTTCTTTTCTTTTTTTTTTTTTATATAACTCTTAAAATAACTGAAGTTATTGCATTAATTGTACTTTAACGAATTGAATTGAAAGAAAAAGGTATTAAAGTAATATATGTTTAAATTAAATAAATTTCAAGTACATCACACATATATCTTTCATATACATACATATAACTACATACACAAAGATGCGAAAATTAACCGTGTAACAAACTCTTGTAAGACGACATCTAATATTAAAAATATTAATATTTTTAAAATGAGTAAAGAAGAGAGAGAGAGAGTTGTAAAAATTTTATACAAAACGATGCAACAAAATGAATTGATGTTTGAACCGTTTTTTTGCAACGACTCAAGGCATGTCCCCTATACGAGCGAATAGGTAGAGAGGGATGGAGAAAGAGACTAGTATTTGAAATGTGAATATGAAATTCGCTTTGTAAGAAAGTAACGATCTATAATCATAACTTTTAATAAATGTTGACCGCCTTGGCTTTTCACTTTGTTTACAAAACTTTTTAAAATAGAAAATTTCAAGCATACATAAGCAAATAGCTTACAGGGAAAAAGAGAGAAAAATATTGTTAAGGCGACTATCTAAGCATCTTCTTCGCGATTAAAATATACTTGACTTCCCTGGCAATGTAACGCTGTTGTAAAGCAAATTATCTCAAAAAGCTACTTGTAACTTTTTCATTAAATAAAATCCATCTCGTGTTTCTTAGAGCAAGTTCATGGAGAATTTATTTCTGATCAATTAAAAGGCCTTTCCGCAGCTTTTTTATAGTGAATCGTGTGCAAGAAAGATGCGCAATGAAAAAACTCAAATCCAATCATAGACAGTTGCTGGGTCCACATACTGCCTACATATTGTTAATTTTTGGGCCTAAAAGCAATGAATTGGTCGCAAAATATCAAATCATTTTGTTGTATCTTTGTTCTTCAATGAAATGTTATGAAATTGATGCCAATGTATTTTATCTAATCATCAGAGAAAATATTGATGAAAATATTCATGATTAAATTATTCAGTAAAGTTTGATTTTTCAATCTTTTCAATTGTTATTTTCTGTACCCACCACAAATTGCAAGTATATATTAGATAGGTTAAATGGTGTGTGCGAAATTCTCGATTGAGACGAGTGCGTCTGGGGAAACGTAATCTTATTCTTTCCTTTTGTTTTACTTAGCAGCCCCCCTCCCCCTTTAAAAAACGACTTAATCGGTTCACAAGTTCGCTTCGAATGGACAATGAAACTTCTTCGCTTATCAGCTTATCACTTGAAAGTTTTGTTTAGATCTTTATATATGTTCTCACAATTTTGCCCCTTTAAAATCGCAGACATTGTCTGCAAGGTAAGTAACATAAGAGGCTTAGGAATACTAGATCTTTAAAACTTAATATTTCAAGTCATCCATGAGAACCCATTAAATCCATCTGACAGATTCGCCCATCGTACTCGAAGACTACAGACAAATAAGAGTGAAAAAGAATTTAAGTTCTTCTTCTTCGACAGTTTAGCAAATCAACAACAAGTGACGCCACCGCTGTGCTGGGTAAAAAAGAATTTCATTTATATAATCACCTATGAGGTGCTACCAAACTGTAAGAAAGTAGTTTTTAGAATAAACACGATGTGCGGTGTGCGATATACGATATACGAGATATATCAACTGAACGAATTTACTCATATAAATAAGCTTGTGGTGGGTAGAATTCAAGTATGAGTTTTCCTTGTTTTTTGTTCAATTTGTTTTTTTTTTTTTATGTTTGAGTAAATTGGATATTTTAGTAAGGATTCTTTCTATTCAATTTATTTTACAATAATTTTTCTTTTCTATTTTTTTTTTGTTTGTTTTGCAATTTCTTAACTTCATAAAAAAAAAAAAAAAAAAAAAAAGTAATCGTTCACATTATATTTATTATATAACATTAATATTTAAATTTTTAGTTTTTCACCATTTAAATGATAATACGATAATTAATAATAATAATTATATGGTTTATATTTCAAAAATGAAAAGAAAATATTTTTCTAGAAAAATTTTTTAATTTAGTTTTTACTGATCGAATTAAATGCTTACATATGTATGTATGTATGTGTATATGTGTATAAGTGGTATAGTATATGTAGACGTTGTTGGTGTTGTTGCTGTTGTTGTGGTTTTGGTATATAAATATAATTTATCATTTTATTAATTTGTTTTCTAATATTAAAATATTCCTTTTTCTTGTTTTTTTTTGTAAATATGTTTTTTTTTTTTAATATTTTAATTTCTTATTATTGTTGTATTATATTTAAAAAAATAAAGCCTATTTTGTTGTATTATTTTTTTAGAATTATTATAAATTTTTTTAACTTGTTTTTTTTTTTTTTTTTATTCATTCATGTTTCACGTTTATTGCTAAACTAATTTAATCTAGATTATCTTGAAAAATCAATTTAATATAACCTGAATTGCCATCTAATGGCGTCGCACAAAATGGACAAACGGCCTGAAAACCATTTGTTCCATGTGGTATATCGACATTGGCCCAATATCTGAACGTAGATAAATAATATAAACATTATAGAAAAAAAAAGCTTTATTTCAAAAAGAAAAAAAACTCACTTGACCGTTTTTTCGGTAGCCATATGACCACATGGATTAAATGCAAATGTAGGCGGACCAATATCAACATAGAAAGCCGGCTCTAAGCCCATACACAGTGTCACCACGGGTCCGACTTCCAAACACATGGGACAACGTCTGGCTCCGGTACTTTTATCTTGACCCCAATCATGATGACCTACAATAATGAAAATGAAATAAATAAAAATGCAATGTAAGCCCTACAGCAATGACCTGTGGCCAATTAACTGTACGGAACATTTCTAATTTCTATAAAAAGTTGCATTGAACCTAATGTGAATATGTATGTACTCGCTATAGTTTTTGTAATTGTGATACGCTTTGCTCAAATTTTCTTTAAAATTGTAGATTACTTTCCTATTTTTCCCTATAGTGAGAATTGTAACAACCTAGGCGGCGACTAAGTCAATTTGGGGTCGGTTTATAGGTGTCAACATCGAGCGACTCGCTATAATGAGTAAAGTGCATCTTTTGCTTGCTATAAAATGAAGATCTTTCGATCGTAAACTTGCTGTTGAGTAACATAATCAAATTACGACCAGGTTTACTCGGCATCGATAGCTAAAAACTAGTCCCAGCTTTATGCGTTCTATACGTTCTAAGTGGTCTTTGCCATACATTTTTGGCTGAAGCAATTGGAATATTGTTATCCAGTACTTTTTCACCCATCAGCTAAACTATAGAAATTAATAAATTGTGTTGTAGCTTTGGCATACAATTAATGCGCTTTGTAATGTGTATCAGCGCTCTTACTAACTACGTGTAAGAGAACTTCGGATTCGCATGCTGTGCCCTTGCCGTAAAAGGGTATATTTTGCGCGGATATATGCAAAAGCTCCAAGAACTTAAGACTGACCTTCCTTTTATTACATATAACTACGTTCCGAAACGATCTAAGCTTGCCTGTCCGTCTGTCTATCCTGTAGTCCCATCTTTAGCCTGCAAGGCGCAATTTTCCGAATATTTTGATGAAATTTGATGCACCGACTTGTTTTGGAGCAAAAATGAACGCTATTGACAATAGCTCGGATGGGAGCAGTTTTCGATCATTTAAGTTGAAAAGTCATTGTATGGCTTTTTTCTTTTTTTTAAGTTAAGCGTAGAAATATTTTCCAATACCGTCTAAATTTCCTATCAAGATTTGTGTCATTTGTCTTGTTAGGTGTTCTAGGACGAAATTGCATCGAATTTTATTCTTTCTTTTTGGTCAAAGAATTCGAATCCATATAAGGGAAGCAAGACTAAGAAAAGTAGACTGAGAGCGAGTATGTCGGCGGCGGCTAAGGTTTATCAAAATTTCTTGGCTCGTTTTTATGGAAGCTTCGAAGCACTTTACATCTCTCTCTTATAAGGTCTTAATAAAATATCACAACCCGGCGAAGGAGAAAGAAGTCTGTTTCTAAAAATTCCCTTACTTAAGCGTGGTATAGTGTAATTAACCAACAGTCAAGCTATCGTGAGTACATCTACAACGTACAGATATATATATTTAATATTAATGTTCTAACCTTGCACATGACCACAATTTAAGTACACATAAGGCTGATTAATTTGATCACCAATGTTAACTTTACGGGGTATAACCAAAGTGTTAAGGCCAACAGGACATTGAGGACGACCGGCATTTATCTCATCAATCAATTTCTCCAAATCACGTTTTGTCTAAAAAGCGTATATCAAAACAGTTGCAATTATCACTTATATCATTTATTTTATTTATTGTAAGCATATACCGGTGAATGTTGTAGACCTTCAGCTGAACGCCACAATAAAGTAGCTCCGCATAAATCAATTAAAGTGCCATCTTGTAATACATTTGATTCATCGTAAATCTATTAAGACAAGTATGTATGAACAAGTATGTTAAACCGTGAAAGATTTATTAGTAAAAATTTCCATTGAAGATATACTTTTATGTGAGCACTTACTGGTTGGCCTTTTTGTTGGGCTGAGCGTGATTCACGCAAACTAAACACATCGCCGCCCACTGAACATTCGCGCCAGAGGCCGCATTTAGCATTGCCACCACAAAATTGACCCTTTGGATGCATGATTAGTACACCGTTTGTTGTTAGGCCGTCGATTTCCACATTATCCTGCCATTTTGTGGCTTTTTCCTACACGAAAGTAAATTTTATATAAATATATTACAATGAAAAGCAATCAAGTGATTTGCATAATATGCAATAGTTATTTCAAAATATTGAGTTCAAGTTACATTTTCAGATTGGCTTCAAATTTCGATAATGAGAGAGAACATGAGACCTTGCGTTAATGGCATTGGTTTCAAGGCCTAAGTGAAAACAACTTTATTCTAACATTAGAGAAGCAAAATTCTGTCAAATTTTCTAAAAACTTTTTATTGATTTTTTTTTAACTTTAGCGAGAAAGGGAAGAGATATTTAATGCTTACCAGAAAATTAGTCTTATTAGAAAATGAGTTAATTTTTCAAATATGCCGTTGTTTTGTCACTTTTAAGAGGATTTTCTTTAAATTTACGCGATATGCGTAAAATGCGCTTTCAAGATGCATTCTTTAATCCTACAAGCTACCGATCCTTCTGATATTAGCGCAAGAACAAGGTTCGAGTCGATCGGGTAGGATGATATAATCAGGATCAAGAATCAATAAAGGTCCATCTCGAGGTAATGCGAAAGCGGTTCCGGGAAAGTTTGACCCCAGTGTAAGGCTACTAGCTGACAGTGCGCTGTCACTACGCCGATCTGCTATACTATCAAACGTTTATACTATGTAAATTATTATGAGAGAGCATTACGTGAACACGGAAAGCGATTCCTTTCTATGATTTTAACAATTATGTTGACAAAGTGTTCAACGCCTGCTAATTAAAAAGAAAATTAAGTCAATCCCATGTATATTTTCTTCTCCAATTTCTTTAATTGAGCCAAAATCGAATTTACTAAATCGCGACATATATGGTAAACCTAAAGCTCCGTGATCATGAGTTAATCTTTATGGGGAATTATAAAAAAAAACCCTTTTTATGGAACTACTTACAAGTTCTCACAAGTAATATAATCTGGTTGGTACAAAAAGAAATTTTCGACTTAATGTTACAAATGGTGTGTCTGTGCGTGTGTGTGTGTGTGTGTTGGTTTTGAGTGCCTATATCATCGTAAAAAAAATGTCAATCTCTAAAAAGGAAAAAAAAAAAAGAAAAGAAAAACCTTATCAATCTCAGGCTTAACATCGTGTCGAGTTGGCCTCGTTTGAAATGATTCCTTAAACTTACAGCTTTTCAAACCCTACAACTGACAATCACTTGTTAAAATAATTATTAATTAATGAAAAATAAAAACAATAATAATAAACGAGAACATAAGTTACTATCTCTCTGAAAGAATAGAGGAACCAACAACACCAACACACATTTAACCACTCGCAATGCAAGCAATAAACTCTTATAAATGCCGTAGCAATGACCCACATTCGATGTTATGTGTGTTGTTTATTATGTGTTATACACTATAATGCCGTCATCAATTCTCAAATAACTAAGAACATACACGTACTTGTAATAACAACAAGAACAGGGCATGGGTTCTATTTTCTTTTAAACTTTTCTGTTTTTTTTTTTTGTTTAATTTTTACTACTTTGCATGTTGTCCACAAATACAACTTTCAACATTGAATTTAAATTATTTAATGGGTTTTCTTAACCCCGCGCGCGACGACGACAACGACGACGACGTAGGCCTTCTATCTACATACATATGTATAGATATGTATATAGAAATATATTGTGTATGCATAGCAGGCAGCAAGCGGTACTTACACCCAAAAATATATTCCTACTTGAATCAAAGCCGGCCGCATATATTCTCGCCTTTGTGGGCTCACATCGATTAACCAAAATGCGACAAGCAAAACGTGAAATTGTACTCTGCATTACTTTAGCGTCTTTCTTATCACCAGGCAGTGTATCCATTACTACAAAATCAATAGGCGACTCTGATGAGCGACCAACCTACCAAAAAAAATCAAAAAAAAAAAAAAATAAAATATGAAATTCAAGTAAAGTGAAGATAAGAAAAAAAAAAAAAATTGCGGAAAAAACATGATTTATTTCCACAAAAAATAAAGTCAACTGAAACGTCGTCAAAGAAGAGGAGGATTCATTGAAGTCATTTAAATAAAATTTAAATCTTTTGAAAAGCGGTTGCTTGTGAATTTATTGACAAGTGCTTACAATGCGAATGAAAAGGGGAAGGATTCAATACCTGAAACATATCTGTCTCCGAATCCTCTTTATATTCGACAATTACTGCCTGATTTCGAGACAATGTGTACGATATCGAATGTTGATTGGCATCGAGTATGGCTTTTGATGTCTGTGGCGATTGTACGATATAATGTTTGGAACGTTTAACACCACTTGGCTCGTTACGTTTATATAAAACAAATTTGGAACGTCTACGTCCACGATCTCCTTGAGGCAAATAGCCATTGTAGCTGCAAATATGAAAATAAAAAGGAATTAAGTTAGAAATGAGAAAAAAAGCAAAAGAGAATACTTAATAAATATCAAGAAAATAGGTTAAGTTTCAATTTTCAGCTGCACTTGGTTTTCGCAACAAATATTAAATTAATTTAAATACGTTCTTTAAGAGAGCGCTCGCATTATATTATATTTATTAGATAAATTATACGCTGAGATGAAATTTCACACATCAGTCTTCACTTAACCTTAACACATTTAGAAATTATCACTTAATTTTGTGGACACATACGCGGCAACCGCAAAAAGAAATTCATTGCCGTTGTTTTCGAGATATGCTAGACTTATCGTTCCGGTTGTGACACACAGCAACCGAATATCATAATAATAATTGCAAGGATTGAGATGTGAACCTGAAGTCGCTCAAGTATATATGTAATGGCCATACGTTAAGGGTTAAAGCAATCACGATATTTCAATGAGAGTCCAGGGGCTGTAAACTTTTTAAAAGTTTAGCTTTAGCGCGGATCCTAGCGGGTAAGAAGCACGACTATCGAGTCGCTTTCCATTCAGTTATTATAGTTCGAATCCTTGTGGCGTGCCGGATTTCAGTTACGATTGGTGCGTGGTCGCTCCATTCGCAGAAGCCTAACACTTGCCGATCGGGCGCTGTAAGGCACGTACCCTAACTGACTGCTGACAAAAAAAAAGTGTTTGTGATTTATTTAAGGCTGGTTTTCTAAAATTTTCACCAGGTTCACCTAAGAGATCCGTGGAAAAATGTTCACAACCCACATGTTAATATGTTAGTAAAAAGTTAGGATATGTACGAGAGAAGCAGTCTTTTTTTTTTTTCTTTTTTACAGTGCAGCTATCACCTAAGGATGAAATGCATTATTTCTAATTTAATTTCATTTGAGACCAAAGCGATTCTTTGCCTCTCAAGCGACAGACCAAAGTTAGGCAGAGTTAACGCATGCCAATAAGACAATTGTGGAGTAGTATAAGTAAAATTCCTGGCGGAAAAGTTTGGAGGAAGCAATGCAGTATGAGATGGCGCGCTATCGTGACACGAGAACGAAGAGTTATCTGTCCCTAAACAGGGCGCATAGATTGAAGCAAACATGTTATAACGTTCAAATATTGTTTGGTTCGGTAGACGAAGTCGGCATAAGGCAACAAAACGCGATCAACTTTTCATTACTTTTGTCATATGCAGTAAACACTGAACTAAACTACATCCCATGGTGTCAGAAAATTTAATTCTTGGATCGACCTAGCTATATCTGCCTACTTTTCCTTCCCAATCATTATTGATGATTATAGTAATATATTTGCAGGATTTCCAAGTTGCTGTTTATAGATCAAACATGAAAATTGCACCGATAAGCCCGTTATAAGAAGAAAAGTTTAAGTGTTAAGTGAAAAGTTAGTGTTATTTGAAATCGTGAACAGAAAAAATTTCATTTAAAGGTTTTATGTAAAAACTAACATAATGCACTTAAAAGTGGACCCATGAAATAGTCAAAAAACTCGCTATAGAAGTTTATCTAAAATAGTTAGCAAAGTGGTTTGAAGAATCGCTGCTCGTAAAGGGGTCCTAATCAATTAGTTGTTGTCGCAGTTTTGACAATCTTTATAAATTTATGCTTCGTAAAGCGTGTTATGCGGGAGATACACTCTAGCATAAAAAGGTATAAACATTTTGACTCATTTTCAAGTGTCCTTGGCCATAACTTATAATGCATTATAAAATGTTACGAGAACGTTGCATGGATGGAATATAATTATCTTCTGGATGGATATGTGCGACTATATTAAATTTTCGATAAATTTTTTTTTCTTTTTCTTAGAGATAAACTCTAAGCTAAAATAAAAAAAATAAAATAAAAAATGAAAAAAAAAAAATAAATAAATAAATAAATAAATATTAAAAGGCCGTAAATTTTGCAAATGTCAGTATATATCGATAATAATGAGAATGAGGATGATAATGATGATCATCATTATCGTCATTACTATTAGCGTTATTTATTTTTGTTGTGGTTGCTGTTCTTGTTGCTGTTAAATTTGTGATGCTCTAACCATAAATTAGTTATACGAGCGATTACCGAAGATTGATGATTGTATGCTGGTGTAGTGGACTTTAATGTTTATTTTCTTTTTCTCAAGGCACGTATTACTCATCTCTTTCGGTATATACTTACTGATGATAATAATGATGAAGAAAATGTTGATCATACACATAAATATACACTCACATATATATACATATATATATATATATATATACATATGCATGCATACATGTGTATGTATTCACATACATTTGTTGTTTATACCGATCACGAACAATAGTGTATTTTGCTAAAGTCTTATAACATATTGCCCGTATTGGTATTGGTTAGAAATATGTTTATACAAATGCATTAGAAGTTGATTTCAATCAAACAATAGAGACGTACATACAAACATAAGCACCCATACGTGTTAAGCTTCATTTACCCGCTTAACTTCACACCTCTAAAGGTTAAAGCATTTTGTATTATTAGCGGCTTTTTCCGATAACCTTTCAACTTCGTCTAAGAGCAAAAGGTCATGATAAATATAGAAAATGTAGAGAAACGATGTTTCTATTAAATGCAAAAATATATTGGAAGTTTCTTCGATTATGAGAACGACGAATAGATTTAATAGAATTCACTTACCACGTACACTAACGCCATAGAGCATAAATACTTTTTTCTTTTGCTTTTCTACTTATTTAAATATTTAAACTATGTTTAGTGTAAAGTAAATTATATATACTAATATAAATTATGTATATATATGATTTAATTATATGGTCGTTGGCATGGGCAAACTGTGTCATCGGTTGTTTATCCAAAGACGCGTTTGAAATGTGGAAAACAGTAAAATGCAACTCAATGCCTAGAAAAGAAAAACAAGAAAAGAAAATTCTTGCTATTATAATAACGCTGCGAAAACGCCACAACAAGCGACTGATGAAGAATTGCATATGGAAGCAAAAGACATTGCAAGTCGCGATAAATTTACGAGTTTTAAATTTAGAAGATTTTAAAAAACCGTCCAATCTTCATTCTACCAACGCAAGTCAAGCAACAACCTATCAGATTTTCCTTTTCACGTCCAAGATAAAGATCTTTTAAAATCTATTACACCATCCATACACGCGGTGTTTATCCAGCCAGTAAAATGTTACGAAGCTAAGTGCGCGCAATTAACGGATAGTAATAAAAGACTTCCTGTCACAAAATTATCGGGAATTGTAGGTAAAGTCACCGAAGTACTTTTTAAACTCTGTTAGGACCCTTCTAGGTCCCTTCTGAAGCCTTTCCTTAGAGCATAAACGTATTCAAACCGTATTCCAGTAAAAAAAGATCCTTTAGGCACCAATAGGTCTTTGCGAAGAAAACCTTACTAGAAAACGGTCTGCTCCCGATTTTCAAACCAAAATGCTTTGGAATAAAGGAAGACAGAAGGAAACTACAGAGTATTCAAGAACTGAGGCGACACCTTGTTAGTAATAAGAAAAAATTTACAAATTTCAGCCTATCATGCTTAAACTGACTTCTTTCTGCGAGAAAGCATCCATCGACCGATTTGCTTTCGTCGCGTAAGATTCGAAAGTTATGTGCTCGAGATCAAAGTTTTCTTCAAAACGCTTGACAAACGCTTTGACAAAAATAGCATTCCAAAAAGTCTGTTTCTTTTTTAATCAGGCGTTAATGGCGTTGTCTTCCCGATTCTTGATTTTTTTTATAGTTTCCCTGTATACTGTATATTACCCGTTTGTTTGTATAAATGCGTGATCACCAATTTTCATTCCTTACTGAAATTGATGGCATTCTGGTGTTGAGCGCCAAAGGTCGCGGGGAGGATAAGGGAGAGGGGTCAACGATATATAGGTCAGGTAGCTAAAGTATCCCTTAATTTTAGCAAAACGTGATTAACTGAATTATTTTGCAATATTTTCAGTAATTTCGTCTACTTCATGCGATAATTTAGGCTGTAGCTCGAATTGTATAATGAACTTAAGCACTATTTATGTGCACAGCTATTCCAAATAAAAGGCGTGGCTCTTTGAGTTTCCGCCAAGTTAAGATAGCTTATTTTTGACAAAATCAATCAAATAGAATTTTCGTACGTATATTTCCCAAAACTTTCCTGACAGATAACAAAATCTTAACGACCGTTTCTTAAAGATAACTAATTCATTATTTTATACGGGGAAGAGAAACGCTCCATCAACGTCCCATCGCTTAAAAGTCACACTACATGTATTTTCGGTAACTCCGAGTGGCTCATTTATTTGGCAGTTGCTAAGCGAAGGCGTTAAACAATAATGGACCATTATTTCCCTCATACGTCTCATATCATATTACATTATGATATCATGAGGCGTCTATATATTTATTAATTCTAAAGAAAGGCATCATCATACGACCGAATTGCATTTTATAGAAATTATTTTACCAATGACATCAAGACGTGACAACAATTTCGTGTTCCTTCTTCACTTTATCATCTTAGTATCTTTTTCAATACTGCAACCTTTAAACAGACGCTTGATGCTGTTATTATACAATTATACATATTTGTACCTCGATTATGCTCTCAACGGGATTTACAATTGTCATAATTATCTCCTGCAGTTAACACATACATATACGAACACATGCTCCCATTGCAGGAGCCTATATCCGCACATGTTCGCTTGTATATATTTTCATATATATATACGTGTACATATATACATACGTATATTTAATTTATTTTCCCTTTGTTCTTGAACATGTTTAATTAAAGAAGAAAAATGCGTTTAAATTGCTTGCATGATGTGCACAGGAGACGACCAGGGTTGCCAATATTTTCTAAAATAATAATTTTCATTTTCCAGGATTATTTCAATAACACTCTAGGAATAAAGCTTGACTAAAAAATCTTACTTGAGCATAGAAAGGAAGTTAGAAGCTTTTTGAGCCACAAAAATAAAGTTGAGAAATTTCAAGTCTTAAGGGCAGAATGCAGATTAAATCAAACTATTTAATAATAAGAAGCTCTTTTCAAAAAAAAAAAAAAGGTTTTGGTTTATCAAATTAACCGACTTTCCTATCAAGAAAAAAGACAGCGTTCCTAATGGGAGCTTTTGTATTATATTTCATCAGCAATACGGGACATAAGTTCCGGGCATCAATTCATTCATTCAATCGTTATTAGATGGAGGGAAGCCCTTGCAGTCTTGTATTCAAACCAGGGGGGATGTTTTCAGTAGTGGGATGTGGTTAGAATAAGATTGAAGAGGTGTTCTTGAATTAACCCGCTATCAGTTAGCTTAATGATGGCCTTTTTTGCAAAGAGCCTTACGTACATACGTAGCCTAGTACACATAAGTTGCGAGGTGAAATTTAGTTCACTGCCAGGCTGGATCTATAAACAGAAGCAGAGGACATATAGCTCTTATCCCTTTTAACTTTTAGACAAAGAGGCAGACAGTGTTTCTGCGAGTGTTGATAGCTGGACAGGAAGACAGACAGACACACCTGAATCGGGTTATAGTCTTATGATGACCTTTTTCTAGGTTTATCTGGGTATGTCGCATATCTCGCATATCTTCACTCATTCTAAGCACAAGAAGGAAGTAATAGATGTCAAGTGATTCAATTTAATTCGTATAAAACTCCTTTTTAGTCAACTTTTTCAGTTTTATTATCTTTGAAATCAATCGAAAATGATAAGTGGTTTTTGCTTATTTTGAAATTAGATGAGTTTGTTACGTTTCGACTTTGATACTTTCTAGAACAAATTTTTTTTTTTTTTTTTTATTATTCAAGGACGTGCGTGGGTTTTAAGTAAAAGGAAAAGTGTTTTTCGAAACTTAGACTTGAATTATTTTTTATACTTGTTTGTGTATATAATTTATTTATTATATCCGCCCACCACTATTATTATTATTATTATTATTTTAATTTTAGACTAATGAATTGAATTCTTAGACTAAAAAAAAGACATTGAGCACTAGCAACACAGGCTATCGGCTAAAATATGCAAGTGTATTCTTTTTGTCAAAACATTTGCAACACCCAGAATATATATTTGCGATTAGTATCAAAATACTGCATCGAATTAGGTATGTCTGTTCTTTCATCGGTCCATTATTGGGGGATGGTTGGAAGCGAATTGGTATTGAAAAGGGCAAAGTCGTTTAAGGAATACCTACAGAATGTATTATCCACTGAGAATACCGCTGTTTTCACTCAATAGCAAGGAAATAGGGTTTCTACCAATATTCTACGGTGCCTGTAGAGGAGAGAGAAAACACGGCCACGCCATACAGTGCAGAGTAATCTATGTTTGTTTTAGAAAAAGAAAGAATGCAATTTTGTCATTTGCTCTCTATGCCACGAGTCTGAATCCTTTAACCTGCGACTAAAATAAATTCAATTTTACATCAGAACGTTGTAACAACAAATAGTTGCAAAGAAAAGCGTTAAATTTCAGATATGCTTTAAACACAAGAAATTTCCCGTTTACCCTTGTTCACAATTCAAACTCGTATTGCCGCCAATTTTAGGCACACATAAGTGTAACTTATTTAATACGTTCAAGACAGAATTATACTCATGTTGTTATTATTGCAAATAATAATAAACTCGCGTTAAATGCCAACTATCGCCTCATGATAGAGATACAAGGTTTCGTTAGTCAGCATAGTAAACAGGCAGACGGAGCCTTTCTCATGTCCAAGATTGTATGGTTATGCGCGTATGTTGCTCATTAAAGTGACTGTAGTACCCAGAAGTCCTTAGAAACTGTATATAAAACTTTTGAAGAATTTCGTTGACTTCATCAGCGCTTTATAGATTAGTACGCAACGCATTTCTAGCATTGTAACTTTCATTACGGAAACGTGTTGTAGATTTTTATAAAGCATTTCAATCACCAAATTCAGCATTTCTGCCCATTGACAAAAGGCGGAAAAGGAACTACTAGGTGTTACAATATTTCTTACTTTAATTATCTGCGCACTGTTATATTGGAAAAGTGTTGTACTCTGTCTTGATAGCGTCACTGTCCTCCAAAGTTATGTGGCTCTAAACTCATCTATTAGGAAAAACGCCTCTTTTCGACTTTTTTTCTCTTACTTAATATTTACAACAAATACAAAAAATGTTGCTTACAAAATAGGGAAATAAAGTTTTATGGAAAAAAGCGATGGCTTACCCTAATATAACCAATTCGCCATATTTGACACGTGGTTTTTCGTGGCCATCTGCATCGGATTCGGCTAATGTAGGAGATTCTGAACCATCAGTGCTGGAAAATAATAAGAAAGAGAGAGAGAGAGAGAGAGAGAGAGAGAGAAAAATATTTAAAAAAAAAATTTAATAAAAAATTATTAAATTAAAAATTAAAGACTATACGGCCGGCACACAACGCACACATATATGCATAATGCGTTTGCTTGTGTTTACAAGTTCAAAGATTTGATTGTTGTTTTTTATCTTTATTTTGCATTGTTTCGTCACAAAGAAGTCTTAAAAATTCATTCATATTCAGAAACTACGCAGAACAAACGTACGAACGAGAGTACAAGTATAAAACTAAACCCAAACAGATTATTACGTCTCAGAAGAGACACAAAAGCTAACAAAAACAAAAAACAAAAAAAACAAAAACAAAGCTAAGAAAAGATATTTTGTAACATTGTGTAAATTTGAATTTTTTTTTTTTTTTTTTTTTTTTTTACAACAAACAATTCTTAAGCGTATTTAAACATAAGCATACATACATACACACTTATGAATGTAACAACAGACAAGACACTCGGTATAACTACGAGATATATCAGCAGAGATCAAATTACGAAAAAACGAAAAAGCAAAAAAAAAAACAAAAAAAAGAAGGAAATTCAAGTTAAAACACACTTACATACTCAGCGGGGACATTGACAAAGATAACCCTGTGCATAGTGCTGCTCTTTAAACACTTACACTACGATAGATAGCAAAGTACACAGACAGATAGGCATACGCAGACGGCAACAATGACTGATTACCGAAGGAGCTCAAGATATTGTATTCATGTATGATGATACATATGACAAAGAGCTCAAGCGATTAGAAAGAAGAAACAATGGAGCAAGAGGCATAAGTTCTTTAAAAGAATGAATGATATCGAGTGATAAGAAGTTCATAGCATACATATCAGGAGCGAATGAAAATTAATTTTTTTCAAAATAAAATTAAAATGACAAAAATGAATTAAAAAATAATTAATGAGATTTTTAATGGCAATAGAGTCAGGCGGCTGCTTTAAAATGACCTGAGATTTTATTTTGTTTTTTTTTTTTTTCATATATTAACTGACATCCCTCCTTTGCGTTGCAAGACATGGCATTAATATTTTTCTCCTACGAAAATATAGTCTGCATTTATAATTTATTGAATTTATTGAAGCAATTTTTTATGTTTTACGAACTAAATTTAAGCATAATTAATCCTAATCCTATCAAGGAGTCACTTTCAGTTTGACTCACTTTTGACTTTTGAATGTAAATTTTGTTTAAATTTTTCATTATGCCCTTATGCAACATCCAGAAGAACTTGAGGCAGACCCGCCTTTTATAATATCGGTCGAACCCAGAAACCAGAGTCATTTTCCCGAATCAATCTGGGATTTTCGGTTCGTCTGTCAGTCCACTTTTTTGATCACATCCCATATAACGTCTTATTTTGAAATGTCATTATCTAAATAACCGTAGGTTGGCATACGATATTTCATGGAATTTAAAATATAAATAAAAATAATAACGCTTTAATTTTTTCCTTTTTTAAACACAACCTATCATTAAGAAAATAGTCCTCTGTCCGTGTAACACAATGAAGGATAGAAAGAATTGAGTAAAGATTAAAAAAAATTAAGGAAATGTCCATAGCTTAGCGGATGTGTTGCTAATCGGTAAATATAATGACTTTAGCAATTAAATTCTTTAATTGAAATATAATGAAATTTTCAAGTCTCCCATTTCTATACCTAATGCAGAGGTGGTGATGGGTACAAAACAACGTTCAGCTTCAATTTTATATTTAATATTTGGTCATTATGCCAGTATTCCAACACCTGAGGGCATACAAAAGACATGCTTCAGAATCTTCCAGCAAATCAAGTCTGTCCATACTTGTCGGATATGTACGGATATAGAAACGACGTGACTGGCAACTTTCCGCTTTTTTTTAAGTTACATGGCGCCCATTTTAAGCAACGACTATTGGTAGGACCTTTACTAATCAAAATATCTCTTTGTAATACCTGCTAGAAAAGGGTGAGGAGACGTGAAAAAAATGTTATTTTCTTAAGGAAGTCGAAATAGGATAAAACGTGTGAATCACTGAGTATATATTATATACTAACAGCCTCGATTTTGCACTTTTGCTTAAAAGTTCAAGAAACTCGTGACCTGTAAGTATATCCTATATACACGGGCTGCAATTGCGATTTTCCTAAAGCACTTGAATTGATTGATCAATTTTTTTATCTCAACGTGTGCAAAACTGTGTTAAGCATATTTTGTAAGCTGTATGACGTAATCATTTCTTTGGAGAAATGAAAAAATTCAAGATAACAATATTTTCCTTGCAAACCATATTTTTGGTCATACGCGGTTTTGTTAAAAAATAGCAAAAAGAAGGCTGTGGGTGTTGCAAAACATTTGTTGTTCAAGCAATATCTCAATTTGCTTTGCACTGTTTTATTTTTCGGCCGATCACTAAAAGTTTAAAAACCATATCACTATATCGTTGAGACATCGCGAGTATATCATAAGAAATTTTTTTCCTAAGTGTCCTTAACGAGAACATAACAAGAATACTCGTCCTGAGAGGGAAGGATTTCTAAGGACTTGCCTTGTGAAGAAAATTAGAATAAAATTATTCAGAGAGTCAAGGTCCGTCAATTTTTAAAAAGTTGCATATCTGCGATGTTTGTATTCCTGCGAAGCGGACACCGAAATTTCCAATTGTTGCGATTATCTTTCGAGCGAGAAACTTGGACTGCATTGTATTCTCTAATTAGTTTAACATTTCCATAGAATTAAAGTATTCACAAAACCAAACGCATTTTGGCGGACCCAAAACCCTTCTATTGATTTCTCGTCATCAAGAGATGGATGCAATTGGCTTCGACTTTATTAATATTTACTCACATCAGCTGTTTCGTTCTGGCATAGCTTCTCGATTCCAGTGTTTGGATGTGTACAACACTGGGTTCACATTTTCAATGGATTTTGTAATTCAATGCAATATTTCTACATAACGCATTTCGGTTCTTTCTAAGTTTTTTTTATACCCACCAGAAGAATTTTTTTTGTCAAAACATTTGCAACGCTCAGAAGAGAGCATCGGAGACCTTTGTAGGGTATTTATTCCCTTGATCATTCGATTTAAGCATGTCCGTCTGTCGATCTGTTCGACGGTGTAACGTCCGTTGGAAACATTCTCCTGGCCGCAAAAATGAAACTATCGACTTCACATTTAGCGGAAACATTGGAAGTTCCTGCACGCAAAACAGTAAAGAAAATGGATGAAATTGTTCGAAGGTCACACGCACAGCACCATGTAAACTGAGAACACCTCTGTTTTGAAAAGGAACAGAAAATTGATTTTTTGCCCATTACTCATAAACTAAAGCAAACCGATCTACAAAAATTTGCACATATATTCTGTGCGTGATGCTGTAGCATCTGAGCATGAGTATGAAAAACATTGATCACACATCCAATACTATAGTGTATCAAAGTTTACTTCTTTTTTTTTTGAACACCTTTGCAAGACGCGGACACAAGCTTTAAAAACCCCATAAAGTATATAAATTCTTGCCCAGTTTCAAGTTCGGTATGCACTTAGATATGTCTGTCCGTCTGCTTGTCTGCGCAACTTTGTAGTATTTGTGGTAAACATTCTCCCATTGGTGAGAATGAAGATATCGCCCACAAATTTTGCAAAACAATTTCAAAGTTACTTAAACTTTTATAAGCACACGTCTACAGCGCCCACACCCCTATGCCACAGACTGGAAATGCATAGCATTGAAGCTACCGAAAGTTGTTTTTTTTTTGGGTAGATTGAAGTTTATTAATCAATAATTAATCATTAATTAATTAAGACAATTCAATCAGTTATTAATTAAAATTAATTAAGCTTAAAGAAAAACTTTTGTAATAATAAGATAATGGAGTTTATGTTATAATATACACGCTAAATAAACTCTATATAACTAAACAAACTGTTCAGTATCCTTCAAGGCCTTCCCAATGGCTGAAGAGACTAGACTGAAAAGATGTTAAATTTTTGATTTGACATAAACTAGAAACACTTCTAAGGAATGGTTAGTTATTAACAGAGAGCACGTTGCTATTATCTTAATCAAATATCTGAGGATATATAGTGATATAATCTGTTATTTCTTGACGAAAAAACATGTACAAATGTTCGACCTAAATTACAGACATTTTTGCCGACCGATATATTTCGCATTTCGCTCAGCTTTTGTGACCTTAAAATTTCATCAACAGACACCCGAGATGATGGCCAATCATAATTATCAAATTAGATTTATTGGACCTCCAACGGGTGTTTTCGGTGATTTCAAAAATCAAAAATTATGTTTGATTTATGTCCATGAAAATGATGGACTCCAAAAGTAGCTGACGTGATGCTTGACGATTGCTGTTTGAGTGAAAAAACCTAATGTCCTCGGATGTGCTTTCAAAGCTTGAAGACGATCCGTTTCTGGTGACAGAATTTAAAATCGAAAACATTCGAAGTAAAGGGAAACTATGTTTAAAATTAGAAATGTTTTTGGTCAAAATTTTGCCTATATATTTCATCCGATCTGCTACTCTCCCTTTAGACTATTAGAACAAGTCCTAAAACACCATAATGGTCTCATGCCACCGTCATATGCAAATTTGTTGGACAAATGCAGCTCGCTCTTGCACGCAGCTTATTGCGTGGGATAATATTTTATGTATATATATATGTATGTATGTATGTATGTATGTATGAATTTTATAATCAATAAGTTCACTTTTATTGCGGTAAATTGAAACATCAAAAGTATCATTAAATTAATCAGAATTTAGTTGAAATTGTTTCAAAATGAAAACAATTCTGGCGCCGCTAAACAATTATTGCCATGCGAGCCTCAAGTACGCACCACGCTTTGTATATGTGGAGATGTAAGCGCATGTGATATCCGCGTGCCAACAGCAGAGGCATGTCAATGCAACAACCCCTTTATGAATAAACATGTTAAAC